GGCCGTCCCGGGGGCGGGAAACGCGCGTGCGGCGGGGGCGGCGCGAGGCTCCCGGGCCGGTCCCTCACGGCCTCTCCGGGGCGAACGCGGGCCCGAGGTAAACGCTGACCCTCACCTCCCGGACCCGAGCGCTGGGACGCCCGGCGGGGCTGTGAGCGTGAGGTGAGCCGGGCAGGGGAAGTTCCCCGGAGCCGCCGCCACTGTGTGATCCGCCGCAGTGAGGTAGGGCAGCGTGCAACTCCCCGAATACACCGCTTCCAGCAAAACTGTACAGGCAGGTGAGGTCAGGTCACCGAGGTGCCCGTGTGCCCCCGTTCGCCTGGCATAGCGACCCTATTTACATGAGAGCTTAGGTGTCTGAGGGGGAGGCAAGAGCTTAATCACCTCTATGGACCCAGCCTTCGGAAATGAACCATTTCACGGCCTCGCTTGCCAACACGTGCTCGTGTTCCTGAGTGTAGTAGTTGCAGCACCCAGGGTCAGGTATGCCGCTGTGGTCTCCCAGCCAAGTGCTGTTGCAAATGGTGGTGTTAGCTGAGATCTGCCCAGAACAGCGTGTGGGAGGGTAAGGCTGCAGGGCCCCTTCGGCCAGTTCTGACTGATGCTATTGTTTAAATAGCTGCAAGAGTGTTTTTATAGCTCCTAATAAACTGCTGGGAATTGTTACAAACACAAAAGTTAGTGTGTTTTCAGTTAATAAAAAACCTGAAATGCTGTGTTTTTCTTTCCAGGAACTTCCGCTGTGACTGTGGAAATAGCAAGTTCAAAAATCTGCAGTGCAAGTTACTCCCAGTAAGTTCAGACATAGATTTCATGCATACGGAATCAAAACTACAGGCTTGGGAGGCTGATGCCTTGCCTCAGCCAGTGCTGACTTGTGATGCCTCTGCTTTTTCCAGCAAGTTAAACAAGGTGGGAGTATTACAGCAGGAGATAAACTGTTAAGGTACCAAAGGGAAATGTTGTAGGGAGAGAGAACATTTGATTCTTGTCATCCATGAATGCAGTTGTTTGGTGTCCATGGTCAGCACAGTGCCGGAAACGTGTCCTGATGCCTACACTAATACATCTGCTTAGCTTTAAGCTGGCTTCAGGAAGACCTTTTGGACTGCAATTTTGTAATTGCATTAAGGAAATTTAAAGTTGTGCTGCTGTCAAAGAGACAGTTCTCTCCTCTTCCTTGTGGTGGCATTAGTGCCCTAATCTTTTTTGATAGGTTGTCACCAGAGCATACTGATGGATTAGTTTTTTACTATGAAGCCCCGTGTGCCTTTATACTTGGTGGGCATTTTGGGTTTGTCAAGTAGTTGGTAATTGTCTGGGAAGCAGTGACAGGAAGCTGGCCTGCCTGCAGTGCAGCTCACAGGGTAATAACAGTCCAAATGTAGAAACATCAAGTGGTTTTGTGTATGACTGTTTTGTTCTGGCAGAACTGGGATGGATGCAGAGCTAGTCGGCCTCAGGCTACAGTCCAGTGATCCCTACAGAGACACCTGTGACAATTTTAAGATGTTACTGTTTCTTATTTGAATCAATGGAAAGGATCACATGGTTGTTCCTCTTCCTTCAGTTCAGTGCAAAATCAATTGTATTGTTTAAGTGACCTTCAGCATCTGTCCATTAATGTGGCCATCTTCAGGAATGCCGGGTGCTCGCCTCGTCCGTTCTTCCTTTGTCAGAACAGTGGTAGAGAGCTCTTTGTAGTCATATCATAAATGGTCACAGCTGCTTCTGCGGGGGCTGATGGTAGGTGGCCTTGGGTTGCCACAATGTGCAGTTCTGAAGCCCCCTGGCTGCAGCTATATTAGCTGTTTGTTTTTTAGTGGAATTACCTGTAATTGAATTTCACTCGGCATGTTTAGTAATGTAGATAATCCTCTCCTGTAGTGTGAAGTTTATATGACATGAATTTAGTGGAAGCTCAGTGGTAAGATTAAACCAAATTGGGGTTGGAATACAGTCTGGATGTTTAAAAAAGAATGGAGGGGAAGCTGCCCAATAAATCTACAGACGTTGTTATAATGTCAGCAGGCAGGCATGGTTGGTGATCAAAACTCTTAAATGGTTTTAGATTAGTAGTTGCTGGACAAACACCATGGTTGTCATTTGTTACAAAGGTGGAAAGCTTTTTCCTCTTTCCGTTTGAACTTCAGCGTTCTCGCGTGCCCTATCTGCTGCTCATGGTATAGCATAGGTGTCTGGATAATATATTTTGGGATCTTCAAGCTGGTAAGTATAGTGATTGCTTTTAGGAATTAAAGTGGAACAGGAATTGGGTTTTTCTAGATTATACATCTTTTCTGTCTTTTATTTTTCATTACATTGTCTATTGAGAATTTTTTTCCTTTTCTCCTAGGAAAAGGGCAAGGTGAATTCAGGAAATAAGTATAATGACAATTTCTATGGATTATACTGTACTTGTAAAAGACCTTATCCTGATCCTGAAGATGAGGTAAATACAAAACTCGGTAGTAATCATACATATATAGTGTTTATGCAAAATATTGTCCAAAGGGTAGTTGCTGAGCTACTTTGCAGGGAAGATCCCACTTTAAGAAATCTTAAGTTCCATATTGCTTTTGGTTGTCATATGCTGTATAAAGTAATTACTTTTTTTTTTTTTTTTTTAAATGGTAGAATGTGTTTATGCCTTAAAGACAGATAAGGAGGACAAACCATCATTTGGTCAAAATGCTGATGCAGTCCTCCCTGCTTTCTTCTCTAAAGTTTCAGAGATCCCTTAGGGGGTGAGTTTCTCATCATCTTGAGAAATGTGGCAAGCACAGAATAAACACATTGCACATGTTAGGAGAGACCAGGATCTGCTTCTTGGTGCCTGCAGCCGTGCTCTGACAAGGCTTCTGGTATGGAGAGAGTCTGTCCTGTAGCACTGGCTTTAGCTTTCCTTTATGGCAGTCAGGACACTTTTTTTTCTGTCTGAAGTATTAAAATATACCACTTGGTTTGCGCGCACACACACACACATACACACACACACACACACACACACACACACGCTCTCACACTTTTGTTTGCAGTCATAGAAGTTAGGTGGTTTAAAGAATAAGGAAGGCACAAGTCTTTCAAATCCAAAAAAGTGTTTTATAAACTTACCTCTCTGAAGTTCAGAGAAAGCTAAGTATTTCTAAAGAAATCATTAATAATTTTTTCGTAACAAAGCAGTTTGTACCATACTGCATGGTGGACAGTTAGGATTGTGGCATTCCTTCAGAAACCTGATGATACCAGTATCTTTCTTTTGCTAAACTGCCTGATCATGCATTTCTGTTCACAGGAAGAAAGATACCAACAGTGTATTCATTTTTTTTTTTTGTCCCTTTTGTGTGAGAATGTCTTGCTCTACTGGGAAAACTAGTTTTTGGAATAATAAATGGGAATTTCCAGTCTTGTTAATATGACAAATTACATATGCTGTTGAACTCCAGGGACACAAACTGACTAATGAAGCAGTTAACTACTTATTAATGGCAGCTCCCAGTGGGTGGGTGAAGAGGGAAGTGCAATTCACTTGAGCAGGCTTTGCATAATACTGCCGTTTGACACTTGGGAAAGATTCTGGAGGTTGCTGTTAATGCTAATAATCTGACCGATCATCTAGGTTCCAGATGAGATGATCCAGTGCATAGTTTGTGAAGACTGGTTCCATGGAAGGGTAAGGAAGCTCTTAAGTCGCAGAATTGCTATTTGCATAGAAATAAGTCAGTGTCGGTTAAGTTTGTATGGTTATTCTTACTTGGGAAGGTTTGCTGTAGTTCTCAAAAGATTTATTACATGAGGTCTGAGGTATTTCTTTTCATTCTATGCAAAGGAATGTTGAAAGGTTAATTTTGTGCTGCTGTCCACAAAAAACTAGGAGGAGTTCTACGTTTTTGAAGGCTACCACTGCAGAATAAAAAGATAACTTTATAACTGTCTGTTTAATTGGAAAATTCTAATCAAGTTGGTGAGAAAAAGATTCTTACTGAGGCACATCATTATGAACTACCTGAATAGTTCTTCATTCAGAAGAATGCTTTTAAAACCGCAGTTCCTTTAAGTGGCAAGGAACAAACTGTGCTCTTGGTTCCTGATTACAGACTGTGGGGAAATATTTTAAAAGCAGCTCAGCACTTTAGTGAGTGGCCTACTTAACATGTAAGCATTAAGGATTCAACCTCTTGTGCCTTGAAGGGCGTGAGTGAAATTCCATGTTTGAAGTTGCAGGATCAAAGAATAAAAAGAAATATCATTGGCTTCAATTATAGGTTCTGTAGATAAACTATAGGATTCATTTGTGTAAATGTATGTATGAAGAATGTTATGCTGCATACTGTGAGCTTTGCAAGAATGCTTTTCAAAAGAAAGCTGCTAAGTGTTTTTAATTGCCTAAATAGTTGTCACCATTTTCTGGAGAGTTTTGGGGCCTAATTATTCTCAAGTTCAGTATGTGATCAATATGAAGATTTACAATCTTTTCCATGGAAGAAAGCAATCATAAAAAGTTATTTGAGAGTTTAAATGTGCAATGTTTGAGAGGTATCTTTAGGAGAGTTTAGAAGAATATCACTTAGAAATGAGATGAAGATAGGACTGAGATTTCTGGGTATGTAGAAGGCATAAAAGGCTGTAGACAAAGAGAATTATTTCATCTTTTCCCTGGAATTTTTATCAGCTCTTCCAAGTTTCTAAGTTACAGAGATGATTATTGTAGAAACTTAGCAGGAGTGTATGCTTACGCTGAAAATGTTCGACGTTTTATTTCCCCTAAACCTAGAGTTGAGTCTGTCGGTTTGCAGTGAGTGCTTCACTGCTGTGTGCTTGTTTCTCTTTGATAGCATCTTGGTGCAGTTCCCCCTGAAAGTGGAGACTTTCATGAAATGGTGTGCCAAGTCTGCATGAAGCACTGCCATTTCCTGTGGGCTTATGCATCGCAGTTAGCAGGTAAAGAAAATTAAGAGTCAATATTTCATTATCATGTATTTCTCAGACATGGTCGATTAATGACATGATATTAAGTTGTTGGAGAAATGATACTCGTTATATTGGACAATCACCTTCAGCAGTGGAACATGCAGGGCTGCAGTAACTGTTCTGTAAAAAAAAAAAAAAAAAAAAAAAAGAAGTTCTTGTTCCCAAATCTTAATTCTGTGGTGCTCACAATGTGCTAGCACATAGATAGATGAAGACTGACTTAATTTCTAAACTGGATCAGAGAACTGAAGAGCTATCCTAGGGGAAGCAGTGAGGCAAACAGCTGAGTATAAGAGGCTCTGAGCACCTCCCCTGCTTCCTCCTCCTTCCTTCCCCTGACCTCAATGTTCACATAGGTGTCCTTGTAACTTCTCCTCAAAGTCCCAACCGCCTCCCAGGTCCCCCTTCTAAATACATTGTCACAGAGGCGCACCCACCATCACTAACTGGCCTTGCCTTGGCCAGAGGTGGGTCTGACTTGGAGATGCGGAAGCTTCAAGAAGCTTCTCAGAGGGGCCATCGCTGTAGCCCCGTCCCCCGTCACCAAAACCCCACCACTCAAACACAACACATCTGCGTAGAGCTGGGACTGTGCTCAGGACGTGTGATACCTGCAGTCACACCAAGCCTCTGCTCCCTTCTCTGCAGGATTGGAAGCGTAGATGACTTGACTTGTGTTCTGTGGAAAGAGCTGGTTTCACATAGTCTTCTAAATGTCATTTATATTAATTGGTGATTGATCTCTTATTTGCCAGAAATTTCATTGGTAGTTTTAAGGATTCCAAGCTGGCCCTCCTGGAGTCCTCTTCCTTCTAATGTAAATACAGTACAGAATGGGTGGCGGGTGTTTTTTTGTTTTCGTTTTTCTCCTTCTAACCCACTATGTCACAGGGCACACTTCTGAACTGACATCAAAAGAAAAACTTGTTTTAAAGAAGGAAGTAGTTAGTGTAGTTAATCTGTCCTGGAGTTTTTTTGTGTGTGCATCTAGAGAAAAAGGACTCTGACACAAAGTCAGCAAAAAGGTACACGCCATCTACTGAACCTGCAGTAAGTATCAAGGGGTGTCAGGAAGGACAGGCATCTTAATACAGAACTGTCTCAAATTGTGATCCTCTTTTCCCTCTCCTAGAGCTTAGGTTTTGGGAAGCAGGGTCTTTTAGAATAGGAGTATGAAAGGTGAAGAAGACTGTGGTGAAAGAGAGACCGGTTTCTTTGTGCACCTAGGTCAGTGTATCTTTGGACAGCTGTAGAGTGTGTCCAAGACCCTGAAACGTATGAGGTGTACCTTGGTGCTCTTTGACGCTGCACTGGAAAGCAGAGAACATCTGTGGTAGTCTGTACGTTGTCTGGCACAGTATTTTCACTTACATGGGTATGTATCTTCCAGTTCCTGCTTTGACCAAAGTGAACTCCCTTGAAGATGAAGGGATTGTCCTGAAGGCTGAGGAAAGTGAAGAGCCAAAAAAAGAAATTAAAAAAGAAAGTGGAGTGGAACACCAAGAAACAAAGGAGGAAGCGCAAACAGAACAGTTTAATGAACCATCCACTAGCTCTGGGTCTGCCTGTCCAGAGGTAAAATGTACCTTCTTTTCTGTCCTGTACATCTTCGTAGTGATGGTAGGTGAAGTAGAGCCCACCTGTTTCTGAATAGGTTCAGTGAAGAGGTAAATGCTTTCAGTCTGTTTCCGTGTTCCTCTTCAGTCACTGCCACTTCAAACACATGGTCTCTGCGGAGCGTGGTGTAGGCTGTAGAACATGATTGTAGAAGTGGGTGACAAGGGTGTAACGTCTGTTTGCAAACAGGTTATATCCACCCCTTCTTGTCAGCCACCAGGACTTTACACTGAGGTAACTTCTGAGTTTGTTCTAATATAGGTGTATTCTGCATTGTAGCTGCATTTGCATGACAAATCTTAAGCGTTTATGGCCATTGCAGTAAATTTCTACAGAAATTTCCAGTGGAAACTGCTAAAACCTCATGTGGATGAAATGGTAATACAGGTTGTTTATAAAAATAAACGTGTCTGAGATAAAAGAAAAGTCTTGCAGAAGGAAAATGACATGCTGGAAAGGACGGAGTGTATTTGAAGTGACATTATAGAGCACTGAACACTCATTTAATTCAGGTAGTTACCAAGAGTGAGGAGCCAGTCTGCAAGCTGAAAGAACTCCAAAGCAAGCAATTTTTAATAAAAGATACTGCTACCTTTTGGCCATCGAACTGGAGAAGCAAATTATGCACCTGTGAAGACTGTTTGGTATGTATTCTCTCTTCATTATCACCTTCACTGATATGAGGGAGGCAGGGAGGAGCTCCGAGAGAATCTTTGAAGAGAAACTTGTAGATAAAATCTGTGTAAAAGTTCTTACTCTGCCTATAAACACCTAAAAAACCCCTCCACCCCTCAAAGAAACATACCAAATATTTGGAATTAATAGAGCACAAAGGAACTTCTAAATATTTGTATTTTCTTTGCTGCTTAAATGCAGGATTGCTTTGGAAGCCCTTATGGGAAGATGTCTGAAATGCTGGATCCAAAATTTACATTATTTTTTTTTTTGTTATTATTTGTGATACTGAACACAACAAGGACTGGGGGACAGCATCTCCGTCTGAGAAGTTGTGCAACATAAAAGTAAATTTTACTTTATTCTCCAGAAAATGTATTCAGAGCTTGAAGTCCAGTTCCTGACAGATGAATGTGACACTGTCTTGGCTTACGAAAATAAAGGTACCAGTGACCAAGAAACAGAGAGGAGAGATCCTTTAATGGACACCCTTAACAGCATGAACAGAGTCCAGCAAGTAGAACTCATCTGTGGTAATTACAACTTCATTTTCAGAATCTGCTTTAACACTGTAACTGAACAGTTTCCCGTAAGAGATTGGTATCAGGTCTTGCAGTGTGGTGTCAAACTGTTTTTGAAGTAACATACAGAAGACTGTACGGCACACTGCACACCTCAGTCAGGATTACTCTAGAGAAGTTTGTCCTCTCTGGCCTGTTGTTACAGCTTTAACTTACATGGAGGAACTACACGTGTGGGAGCTTTTCCCCTATTTAACACCTTAGGTACTGTATTGATAGTAGTTTCTTGTAACATGAATATTCAATTCACACGTCTGCTGTCTGGCTTATTTATCTTACCCTGTTCTGTTGTCTGGGAATCTCCTGGTGTCTGGGGGAGTGCCAACGCCGTGAAGCTGGGGCCAGGGTGCCCCTGGCAGCTCTGACAAGGCAGCTGTTGAGGTATTTTATAACTGGAGCTGTGTTTCCCTCTTCCACGTGGGGGGTTTGCACTCTGGCCAGGACACTCGCCCAATCCTGAGTTACAGGTGATCCACGTGTGCTTTTGCAGTGGGGAGCTGGGAGCAGGGGTGGTCTTTTAACTAATTGTACTAATTCACTCAACTTCTGTACGTATCTCCAAAGATCACCTGAACAGACACTCAGACTGTGTAGGCTAGTCTGATAAAGTATTAGGATTCTCATGTTTACCTGGACTTGCCTTTCTCTTTATTATTATTACTTGTAATGTTGTTCAAACCTGTATTTGTTTCAAGTAAATCTAACAAACAAGAGGAAGTAGAACAAGTTGTCTTCTAGAGCCACTGTTAAACTAGAGCTGAGTATCTTCTGTTTTTTTTTTTTATTTTCTTTCCCTTGCCTTTGTTTCTCTATCCAGAATACAATGATTTAAAGACAGAACTGACTGACTATCTCAGGAGATTTGCAGATGAGGGAACGGTAAGGTGCAACTCACAGAATTTGTTTGCCAGAAAATGTGTTTTAAAGTACTGTTGAGGGCTGGGTATTGTCTAGTATGATGCTATGTTACAGTGTTTTTTCCCTGCCTCTTGGAGGTATTGCAGTAGAAATTAGAACCCCCCGATTTCACTGGTATTTAGAAGTTGTATTTCCTTAATGACATTGTTGAGAGATAACAGGGACCTTACAGAAATCTGTCTATGAAGTACTGAGAGCAGTTCTTAAATGAAGCTGCTTTTGCTTTAGGAAAAGTATTCAGGAAACAAAGCTCTTAACCATTGACTTTGAGTAAATATTGGCAGTCTTGTCAGGTGTTTTCCTGGAGGCATTTGCATGCTGTTATTAATCAACACATGCATTTTGTTGGTTTATTTGCTGAATTGCCACTCTTAGTTACATTGTAAAGAAGCTGAAGTGAGCTAGTGAAGATCTTGCTCTGTGTTGGTTTTTCTGCTGATAAAAGCAAGTGATCAAACCCATTAAAAATATCCTCAGGAGCTTTGCTCCGCGTGCTTGTCCTGCCTTTGGGAAGCTTGTTTCTCTGTGCTCTTACAGTTCAACATGGGTTTTAATTGTCTCCTTTGGGTCCGAGGGGAAAGCTGTAGTGCCAGCTGTACCGCAGAGGTTCCGGTACACGTCCCTTCATATGCTTTGTGTGTTACGTGTGGGATGCATGCGAGGGAAAGGAAAGGATGGTTTAATTGAATTCCTGTAGCACAATCTGGGTTCCGTATTGCTTCCCCCAGGTGGTTAAAAGAGAAGACATTCAGCACTTCTTTGAAGAATTTCAGTCACGGAAAAGACGACGGACTAACCGGATGCAGTACTACTGTAGTTAGACTGAGAGGGCTTGTGTCTGAAAGGACAACTGGGAGAACAATAGACATTGGCAAAGCAAAGAGGCATCTTCAGTAGTTTGGCTTCTCATCCAGCTGTCCAAGAAACGTCTTCATTTTGTCTCATACTTGTTCCTTTATTTGTAGCGACTAAAACGTGTTCTTAACTGGTACACTGCCATTAGAGGGATTTTAGTGCTGATGGGCTCCACACGGCTGCGGGGGGCAGCCAGCGCCTGCTGCAGCAAGCCCGGTTCCTGCTGAGGGGGATCCGCGCCCTCCCCTCGGGTGGAGTTGTTGTAGCGAGGGCTCCCCGGGGTCCCGCGGGCAGGCGCCCAGGCAGGAATGGGTTCTGGCAGGTGGGTCCCATCCAGCGGAGGGCCCAGCGCTGCGCGCTCTCTCCAGGCGGGTGAAAAATGGGAAATCAGAGGGTAGGCTTGATGCAACGGAGTGTGCTATCTGTTTTTATAAATTCAAAAGCTTTCTTTCTAATATTGTACAGTGATGTTTTACATGCAAAAAATCGTCACTTGAACTTTATCCACTCGCTAGAATATAAATAGTATCTAGGAGGAGGTATGAGAGTACAGCTTAGGCAGCGGGGAGGTTTGTTGTAGGACTTACTAACATGCTTTGATTTTAAGGACTAATCTACTGCAAACTACTCCGTAAATAGTTCTGAGAACACTGCAGCATCCTGGCATTTTTCTACAGAATAGTGTGTGATCTTTTTATAATCACTGTGATAATCATGGAACAAGATTACCACAGTGCGTCACTGACTTAAGAATCTGCACTTAGCTACAATTAAATATTGACTTTTCCTAAATTTGGAGACTATTGTAGTTTTTAGTTTGCCTTTACCCAAAAACAGCAGAACCTACTTTAAGAAAGTTCTAATTTTTAACTCCTTTATGTAGTAGGATGATTTCTTTACTATGGGGTACTCATGTTCATGACTTTTGGGAAGGAAATGAGACCTTTATGTATCATTGTCCCTCTTACTTGTTTCTGATCACTTTATTTACAAAAGCTAGTTTTAGGGTAGATGCTCACTTCAGGGGTTTGTTTCATGCGAAATGACTAGTTGCTTTTAAATTTAACCCTGGGTAGTGTATGTGCTTTTTTTGCAGCAACTGTTAATGGGAGTTGTAACTGCCTATCTAATTCATATCTAAAAATTAAAGAACTGTTCAGTCTGTGCTGTCTGGGTGTTTTGAAGTGCTGCTGTAGTAGTTTGTTTTCATCCCTGCCCTGACCCATTGGTCCTGTGGCCAACACCCATCTTGGGGGCCCAGTTGAGCACTGGGCTCAGCCCAGCCCAGTATTCTCAGGTGTCTGCCTCCCCCTGCAACCGAGGGCTGGCAGCCTTTGCTGGTACTGCTTTGGGCAGCAGATGCAGCAGCAGGGGATGGCGCTTCCTTGGTGGTGCAGTTCTGGCCTGTAATTCCCTGAAATGGGGGAGAAGGTGCCTGGAGGCACCAGCTGTGCAGGGCCCCAGCTCTGAGGCCAGGCCTTGGGCAGGGCACTGCCCTGCCCCGTGCACAGCAGCAGCAGGTGCCCAGGGGGAGCCGTTCAGCTGCGGGAAGCTTTCTGCACCCAGCCTGTCAATTTCCGCACCCCAGAGCCACCGCAGCTCCTGCGGCACAGCCCGGGGTGGGGCTCCGGGTGGGCACAGGTACAAGCGCCCTGACAGCCCCGGTGGTTCCTGCCCAAAGGCTGCCCCCAGCCAGGAGGCACCCTGCCTTCCATATAGTTAGCTGACATAGAAGAACACAGTTACAAAGGGAAGAGAAAGTCTGTAACAATAAATTGTCTAGTTGAGGAAGTTGCTCCTAAAACTCATCTTCCTGGATGCAGAAATGAAGGTGTCAATAATTAACATTTAAGACCATACAGCACTCACTGTGCACCTTTCTGCTTGCTGCATGGACATGCTTCTAAACTTGAGCTATCTCTTTGAAGTAGGGAAGAAAGCACTTGTTTCTGTACAAGAGACTTAAAGACTCGGCTGATGCAGGGTAACAGCAGGAAGAGAATGCTGGGTACTTCCTGAGTGCCTTTGTCTAGCTGTTCTACTGAGAAAACAAACACTTCCCAAGTCAAGGGTTAAGTCCCCCTGCCTCGACTAAGAGTAATCCTATCACCTTTAATACTGAATAGTCTCAAGTCAACTAAGCTCTAGGCAGAACAACTCACTGGACTATTTTGCCAAAGTGCTTTTCCTCTTTAACAAGCTGCTTGAACCTGCCACTAATTTTGAATTCCTCCTTTTACACTGGTTTGTACCATATCCTTAATGTTCAAAGCATTGTGCACATTTTTTTCCAGAAATAACAACAAATCCTGGCAGGTTTTAAAAGCCTTTACTGTTAAAGGTTTGTATCAAGCACTCCTTTCACCCAGCCATCGGTCAGGGAAAGTTTGGGAGACAGGTGTAGGCTGGCTGGGGCAGGAGGGCAGGCAGCAGCGCTGTGGCAGCCCACTGAGAACAGTCAACTGGAAGAAGACACACAAGCACGTTCTATACAAGCCATTTATTTGAAATGCCAACTATACGTAGGATAAAGTCAGTGTTACATGCTTCTCAGCAACAGTAGAAAAATAGAACCAGTGAAAACCTTTTTACAACTGTAATGGTACTCAAAAGAGAAATGTATTGTTTTACAATGCATCACACAAGACTAGAATTCAAGTTTGTAGGTACCTAAATAAAAATAACTATTTTTTTTTAAAAAACACTATGTACAATTGAAGCGTAAACAAGTTTTACAAAGTACTGGTTATGCAGGTTGTAGAAAAAACACTTGCATAGGACATGAAGTCAGTTTAAGAAAGTTTTCTGAGCCTTTAGCATTGAAGGCACTTGACTTATACCAGTAACAACACAGGGACAAGAAACAAAACCCTAACATTGCCGAAGGCAGGGCTACCTTCCGGCAGTACAGGTAATTACAGAAACCCCAAATATGGTTTTACAGTTTCATCTCTCAGCTGTTCCCTGCACTAGGCAGAGCTCAGCACCACCTTTACCATAGAAGCATATTATTATTATTAGAAGAAAGAACAGTGCCTCAAACAGCACAAGTATTTTTAAAGAAAAACAAACAAACAAACAAAAAACAACCCAGAATACACCACCACCCCCAAACCACCAACCCAACCCCCCCCCAAACCCCACTAAACCCAAACCAAAGAAATCCATAAGACAAAACATCCGGGACATTCCAGGACCAAAACCCAAGGCTTACAAGTACAGGTGGCAACAGCTTTAACTTTCAGAAATCAAACTCCTCAAGAACAGGAAAAATGCAACAAGAAACTGCCACTCAACACAGCAGTTATTAATACACAACTACAGTAACTCCGTAGAACAACAAAAGACTTCAAAGGAAGAATCTGTTTCAGGAATTAAGTTATTCATCCATATGTTAAGGAAAAGAGGAGGGGGTCAGGGAAAGGAGAGTAAGTTGTTTTTGCATGTTGCTCGCTAAATGAAAGTCTGAGCTCTCTCTTTAATAGAACAAGGAGCACAAGTCCTCCTCATTCAAGAAAACTTAATGTTCATACCTCTATCCTCAAGCAAAATACAGTCAGTAATCTGTTATCTCTATCAAATTTACAGAAGAAAAAGATGTCAATTTCCAGCCTAATCAGAAAGTGCTTCATGTAAACAAGGAGCTTCTGCACCAGAGTTTCAGTAGACAGAGAACAATAAGAAGTAGCAGGTAGCACAGGTACGTGTGTTCTGTGAGCAGGATGCAGTATGAACACTAGCTTCTGAATAAAGCTTCCATGAAGAACAAAGATGGTGTCTCTCCCCTCCCTCTGCACATCCTACTAAGTAGGAAATCCTACTGGAGTACAAAAATCCAGTTCCAGTAATTTGACAAATCGTTCTTTTCCACTTCGAATAAGCTGCTGTTAGCTGCCATCTTATTCCCAACTCAAAATATTCAAGTGAACATGCAGATTGTCTACATGGCCTGATTGTCTTTGTGGCCTCAGAAGGACTTGCCTTTTATTTTGCACCTACTTTTAAACACTTTACTCTCTTTTTTTAATACTGTTCAGCTTCTGAGACTTCAGAAGCAATTTTGTATTCTAAAATGCAGTCATGTTCCCCCCCAGAGTCATTTCTCACCAGCTTATTCCAAAGCCAAAGCATTCCTTCAAGCCATAACCTCAAAACTTCTCAGTCTTCATCAGCCACATCCCGACAAATCTCAAGCTTAAACGTTACATCTGTAGATTTCAGCCCCATCTCTGTCCAGGCACACAGTGCCACATCAAACTATGGTATCTAAAATAATTTTCTCAAAGTACATTTGTTGATTTTTAGGTAAAAATAAATTATTCAGAATAATAGGTCTTCCAAGGACAGCTATGACTTTTTACTAATCAAGCTACCAACACACATATGACCCAAGTGCAGGGAGTTTCAGGGTTTTTGTGTGTGATGAAAGTTAATGCTAGTGCTGGTGAGCATGAGACCCAAGTGTCCGGCTAGAGCTACGCAGTCAGACAGCACTGTGCTCAAATCTCCAGAGGAAACCCAATGAACCTCAGTCCCTAACCTGCAGCAGCACTGTCCCCCCACTGACATCTTCTTACATGTAACAATGTTCTACGCTGCGGTCCCACAGAAATATTGGTGACGAGGCCAGGACCACCAAGTGTCTTGACTGTGGTCCAAAAAACAGATTTAAAAGGCTGACAGAGGAAAGAAAGAAAGAAAAAAAAAAAAACCAAAACCATCTCATCTCACCCAAAAGACATCACCTGTGCAGTTTAGGTAATTTCTCTCCCAATCCTACACTTCACCATCCATGGCTGCAAAAGGGGTACCTGCAGAGCTTTCACAGAAGCAGGAGGCCTACAGATGCATATGCAGGAGACATCAGGATTATTGGTTCAAACACCCATATCTTCATTTATCTAAAAGCTATTTGATAGTTTAGAAATGCACTATTCGGTATATTTCAACAACACTGTGTTGTTGTAACCAGGCCTTGCATACTTTAATGAAACGTTAGGGTGAGAATCTGCCATCAACTAAAACTAAAAGTAAAGTTGCAGCAAGATTTCTGTTTAAATAGTATTAAGCATTTTGAGCTGCAGGAAACAATTCAACTGAACCTTAAAGTAGTCCTTAGGTCACACTTGGGATTAAAGTTTTCTACTACAGGGAAATTCTTCATTATAGAAACTGCATTTAAAAAAACCCCAAACAGGCCTTTACCAGTAGTCACTACACTGCAGTGGCATCAGATCCCTAAATGCAATGAATCTGTGGTAAACACTGCACTAAGGATGCACTTAATAATGGTAACTGTTACACCTGGTGCATTGCTTAACCCCAGCGCAGTGGCAGGGAGCCAGCCCAGATCACCATCATTCCCTCTTCATATCATGTTAATAGGTGAATCTCATTTCTGTGCTTTGAAAAAACAAAGTCAGGAAATGGAAGAGTAATTTAAGAGTGCTAAAGCTTCGCACATTTCATGATGCTAGAGCAGTTACTCTTCACTTTGATTTTGTTCACAGAACAGCTGCAATTATGAAGTCAGCAACACTTCAGATCAGGTAAGGAACACTGAATGACGTCACTAAGACTGAAGCCCTTTTTTAATCATAGGCAGGAGAAAGCAAGGCAAAGAGCAGTCACCTCGGCACCTCTGTTGGAGCAGGAACCCTCACAAGTGGAGGGTCACCATTCAGGCAACAGCGGAGATACTATGCCTTGTCTTCCTGACACTCCAGGATTTAGCATGAATCCTCAACTCTGGTTTTCACTTATCCCCACATACAGGTAGCTGGAAGAACAAGTTATTACTACCATTTTTACAGTATTTCTAGATTTATTTCTGCATGGGCAAACAAACAATTCTAGTCTGTCTAATAAGTGCTTCTGGGTGATCATGGAGTTCTCCATGGTCACAGCTGAACCAGAAAACAAACAGAATCAAACTGTCAGATCCCAGTGAATTTCACTGGAATCTGGACTCCTTAATATCCCCCTGGACTTTTAAAAACCCGATATAATTCTTGAAGTGGGCTTGCTATATAAGGATAAGACCAGCTGCCAGAACTTTTCAAACAAAACATTAGACTGGATTCTTGCCATAGCTGTAAAAATCAGGAAGATTTCAGATCTAAATGAACAAAAAAATATAACTGAAAATGTAGTATTTTCATGTGCT